TGAGAAGTCAGAAAAAAAGAAACAAAAGTTGATTAAATAAGGATGTTTCGGGAGTAAAATTTCTAAAACATCTTTAGTTTGATACCCGTATTTTAATTTCCTTTATTTTATCAATATAATTGAATACAATTTTTAAGACAGCTGGTAACCTTCCCAAAAAACATATTTGGTAGTAAACTAGCCTAAACCTCTTTAGTTTGTAGCAACATTGCAAAATTTAAATTATCTTGTCAAGTAAACTAAATTAAAAGTTTCATAAATATGGCAACCTATAACAAAAATACTTTCCGCGGGGCGTCTTCTTAAACATCTTTCTTTGGACAGTCATATTTCAATATTTCCTTTATCTTATAAATTTATATAAACTGAAATTTTCAAACAGGTGGCAACTCTAATTTTTTTTTGTCTATAATTTAAGTTAAACCTCTAAAAATACATCTGTGTAATGGGCGTACCAACATACAGACAGACAAAAAAATTAAAAATTGTTGATCTGGTTTCTATTGCTCTAAAAAAGATGACCCATATTAATTTTCTCATGCCCATACAATTTTATTGAAGTATACCGAAATAACGCGGTAAAAACTCGGAGCGGTTGAAAAATCCGATTTTGACAGGGCGTTAGGAAGTTAAGTTGACAAAAGAGAACGACTAAACTGTCAATTCCGTATTTCACACACACAAACCTATGCACATTGTTGCTCTTATTTGTATATATGACGTAGCGTTGCTGCTTTTTATATATGACACTTTGGCGTTAACATAAGGCGGCAGAAAACATCCACATCAACAATTTCCCAACGAGCACCAACCCAATTTTTCATGCCCAACATCATTTTCCCAATTCATCATATGCAACATCATTATCCAAACCAGTACTATGCTTGGACTGTAAGTTGAGTTGAATTTAAGAAAAGAAATTTTCTAACATGGCAACACTGGTTTTAACATACAAAAATATGCAAGTGGCAATGGTGGCCAAGCATAGGCATTCGAAAGGATTCTAGAGGCGTAGATATATACATAAAAAGTGAAAGGGAAAGGGGAAAGGAATTTTAAACAAAATTTAATGAAAAAGTATTAGGGAACAAACAAGGAGTATTAATCATCGCAACATATTTAAAATCTGTCTATAACAGTTTTATAAAACTTCAGATATTACGATGCTTAACACCAGGGACCGAACATAACACCTATTGATGAAAACTGTCATGGAAAAATCCACTATGAAGGAAATGTTCTACAACTAAGCGATACATACCAATCGATTTATTTTTTCACCAAGATTCTCATTTGAAAATAAATTCTTATTTGGAACTTTTATGCAAAATTAAAAAAATAACAATTATTTTTGATTTCTATATTATAAATCCATAATAACAATTATTTTTGATTTTTATATTATATGTCTTAATAAGAGTTATTGAAGACTTTTATCTATAAAAGTCATCAATAAAAATCAGTCAGTGACTTTTACTTTTACTTTTTTTTAATTTTTAAATCATTCGTATAAAAGTCATTATAATATTTTGCAGTTAAAAAAATGTTGGGGAACAAAAATTTACTACCACGTATACAAATGACTTTTATAAGTATGATTTAAAAAATAAAGATCA